TCTCTCTCTCTCTCTCTCTCTCTCTCTCTCTCTCTCTCTCTCTCTCTCTCTCTCTCTCTCTCTGTGTGTGTGTGTGTGTGTGTGAGTGTGTGTGTGTGTGTGTGTGTGTGTGTGTGTGACGAAACGTGGAAGGATAGCCCCTGCGCAAGGATGACATGAACAAATCGAGAAATGGTCTTATGAAACAAGTGAATGACTGGTGTCGGAGTCCAGTTGCGCTCTCCTGCTTTATGTGGTCAAGTACCACTACCAATCCTCCCTGGAATAGAATGCATGGTCATTAGTGCGGTATGTGGACTGAAAGTTGCCCCAAAAACATCTATAAGGACCATGCTTTCTATTCAGGGAAAGATGGGTGGCGCACGTTTTCCAGATCTGCCAGCAGACTGTGGAGATTGAGGACCAGACACGGAAACCCCAAGCAAATGGGCCCCGGCCACGGCCCCGACCCTGCATCTGACCCTACATCCGATCCAGATTCTTCGTTCCGGGCGTAGATACCAAGGTAGACGGTCGACTGAAGAAAACTTGGGGAACTAGTACAACCCTTCCCCCGAATAGAACGCGCAGTCATCACGAATGTAACGGTAGACTGGAAAAAAATTGGGGCACAAATCCTGAACACACCCGCACCCTCTGAGGGCAATCATACTCGCACTCGGACATTTCCGACTGAGTTGTTGACACGATTGCAGTCAGATGCATCGACCTCTGGCCATAATTGCAGTCCGATACATTTACGAAAGTGCTCGTGTAATTATGCCCTGACACCAATCGTGATTAGGGTACATGGCGTTCAGAGGAAGACGGCACCCATCTTCCCGCCCAGTCATCATAGCTGTATTCAGAGCAACTTTCAGTCTAGATACCACAAAAATAACCAGGCATTCTATCAAGGTTAATACGGGCAGGTGTAGGATCAGTTTCCAAGTACTTCACCACATAGCCACAGCATGACTTTCAGATTTTCCGATCGTGGGCCAGGCCCCACTCGCTTGTATTTTCTTCATTTATGGCCGTTGATCTCCCTAATCTAGAGTCGGAAATCGAGAATACGGGTAAGTGGGACTTGACCCCTGATGGAACGGACCCACATGCGCGCGCAAAAATTACGGCGATCGGTACCTGCAATCTATTCTCCTGCTGCTATACCGAGACAGTGTGCCGGCAATGTGGAGACCTTGTTCTTTAGGGCCTCGCTCTACCAGTCACCAAATATACAAAATAAGACAATCTTCCACTAGAACACGGAAAGATACACCTCTGTAATGTTCGTCTTTTGTGCATGTGGTGAGTAGCGGAGCGAGGCCGTTATTTGTACGGAATAGGGCCCTCGCTCCACTACTCACCAAATGTGCAAAATGAGAGTGAATCTTCCGCTAGAATGGAAAGATACACAGCCATTTTTTTTTTTTTGTCTTTTGTGCGTGGGGTGAGTAGTGGAGCAAGGGCCTAGTTGTACACAGATGTAGGATCGCACTCCACTACACAGCATTCAAAATTGGCTCTGATGTTGGTCCTCACACATTCAGACCGTTTGTTCAGTCCAAATGTATCTGGATCAGGAACAGACCAGATGCACATCGAACATTTTGTTAAGCAAGGCCCCTAATGTCACTGTTGGTAATAACAACATCAGGGCTTTGAATTCGACAGAGAGTGAAGAAAAAACAATTATTACACGTCTTGCTCCACCGCGCGCCAGTGTTGTCAGACATTGGCGCCACTCTGCATCGAATGCGGTCCCTCACTGCACAGCTCACCAAAAATGTGAAAAAGACGAAAATCATGGCGCCACTCTCCTTCTTTCTGTTCATCTGATTCCATGTGGATCGCAACTCCAGTTCTGTATTTCAACAGTTCACGGGTGTACCAACAACGGTACACATCGGTAGAAACACAAAACAGAAAACAAACACACAGAGGTGCCCACGGGCATACCTCCGTTGGACGGCCATGAACTGTTGAAATGCAGACAAAAGTTCGAGCCCAGATGCAATCAAATGAACAGAACAGAATAATTCTGAATTACCTGGGGCCGGTCCGTTCAATGACGATAATCGGCCTCGCTCCACTACTCGCCACATGCATGACAGAAAAAAATATGGCGGTGCATCTTTCCATGTTCTATCATTTTTGCACATTTGGTGATTAGGGGAGTGAGGCCCAATATCTCAAGGCTGATACGACTTTTCAATCAAGACGTACCTGACTGCAACTACGGCCAAGACCAGATGTGTCTGACCCCAATTATGCCCAGAGCTGAGCCGAAAAAGTCCTGGATTGAGTGCGCCCACAGTTTCCATACAATGGAAAAAGAATGCGGCGGAGCCAAGCTCCTGCAGGGGAGAGGTTCCACTAGCAAAGCCGATCGGATAAAGCCCCTAAATCTGGATGGGTCTTAAGCAGCGATGCAGAATTGCAGATCCAGTCACGATTTCCTGAACCCCTCTCCACAAACCAGTCCAGATTCAGGCGTTACATCCAATCCTTTTGTGGTAGCGGAAGCTTGCCCCAGAGGAAGGATGGGGCCCACCGCCACTCCAATTTACCCCGAACACAACGCACCCTCATCCTGGCCATATTAGGACGGACAGATAGCTCGTACACATCATCACGATGAGGGTGCACCGTGTCCGGGAGAAGGCAAGCAGATTCGTTGTTTCTGGACCATATATTACAACTGCCCAGGGCCAACAGAAACACAGAATCGGAGTAAGCGAGGGGGGAGAAGGGCCCACTCATCCGATGTTTCCAAGCATGAACCTGCCCGTGATAGTTGCAAGGTTCATGCTTTTCGTTTATCCTCCTCTCCTGAAATGAGAACTTTGAAGACCAAAGTGGATAAAGCTTTGGGCCATATACTCACTATACGACATTTTATGACTGAGCTCTCCACGTAGTTACGGTTAGATACATTCCGCTCTGACAGTAATTGCAATTAGATACATCCCGCTCCCGGTGTAATTGCCATTGGATACGTCCAGGAAAGTCCTAGTGTGCGAAAGCCCTCACTGTGAAGAGCGCTTGGAGGAGTCAGTCGGCCCTAAGAGATGTGGAAACCTTGATTTTCTTTTCTTATAAAAACAAAGAGAAGGATCTTGGGATTGGATTCGGAGTTTTCGGACCCATCAACTCCTAACTAACTAACAGGCACACACGCATGTTCCATTCTGCCACATTGCTGGGTGTGTTTTCCTCTGTGTGTGTGTGTGTGTGTGTGTGTGTGTGTTTTTGCAATAGTTCTGTGTCCGTATGTGTCGGACCTTTTGTTTCTTTTTTTTTTTTTTGTCTGAACTATTCGCCTCCCTTTTTCGGTTATTTTCTTTTTTTTTTTGTTTTTTGTTCTTGAACGCATTGGATGTGAAGTTGTGAACCCATCCACTGTTACCTAACGAACAGTTACACGTGTGTGCCATTCAGCCACATGGCTTGGGGTGTGTGTGTTTTTGTTTTTAGCAACTTTTTCCTTCTTTTTTTTCTTCTTTTTTTTTTTTTTTTTAAATCAACTCTTTGTGACTTTTTTGTTTGTTTGTTTGTTTTTGTCTAACCTTTTTCTCTATTCTTGTTTTTGTTTTTCCTTTCGCGTTGTTTTTTTTTTTGCTTTTGAAAGACCAGCGAATGTCGACTCCCTCCAACAACTTCTCTTCCGAGAGCAGAGGGGTACAACCATAGAAAAAAATTGCTACAACCACGAAGATCGGCTACTGGCGCAAAAAAGAGAAAAAAAGATGCTACTACTACTAGAAGATATGCATCGGAATGCGCTTCATCTGCAGTTGGCTCGCGCTCCAGGGCTACGGTCTCACTGGCAAAGAGGATTGGATTAAGCATTTGAAACTGGACGTGCTCTGTGCAGAGATGCAGAAAAGCAGATAAATCATAAATCGCAATTTTGAACCCCTCTCCACAAACACATCCAGATTCAGGTGTTTGATCCAATCCTCTTTGTCAGTGGGACCTAGCTCCAGGCTCTAGTGAAGATCAGAAGAGACGGATGCTCGTTATCTAAGGTCAGCATCCTTTTTTTTTCCAGGACTCCCCTTTTTGGAAAAAGAGAAGGAAATGCAAGGAATATGAGTGGGGAAACTATATAATAATAAATTTTAAAAAAAGCTCTTCTCACGAGGTCCCACTACCATGTTCCCCCAAACACCACGCACCCTGGGGCGGGGTCCCACTAGCAAAGAGGATTGGATTTAGCACTTGAATCTGGACATGTTTGCAGAGAGGTGCAGAAAACCGCGGTTGATCTGCTTTTCTGCATCTCTGCATACAACACATCCAGATTCAGCTGCTTCTTGGCTAGTGAGACCTCGCCCCTGATCATGCATGTGTCCCTGAACACAACGCACCCCACCGCTAAACGTTTACAGGTGATCTCTTTTCCAAATTTCTCAATTTTATTTCATTTTTTTCCTTTTAAAAAACACTACACTGAAAGGATTTCACACACTGTCAGAACCCAAAGTCCTGTTCCCAAGGTCCCGGTTGGTCTTGGTCCCGGGCTGTCCCAATAGGGTAGGTCTTAGGGTCCGTAGGTTGAAGCATCCGAGGTCAGTACGAGTCGGGTACCGAAGCGTCGAAGTCCGGTAAAAGTCCGCCGGTACCTGCAGAGGAAGTCAAATCCCAAGTCCAAATTTGCAGCAGTGTCCCAAGAAAGTCCGGAGACTTTCGGAAACGCCAATTTTGGCAAGGCAGATGTTATGTGCCTGATTAAAAACGAATCCAGCATGGCATTCACACGTTCCCATACACATGTGCAATGACAAGCAGACTTGGAGAGAGAAATCCACACCACACCAGATGAGGAGAATCAACAGTGGAAGCTCACGAAACCAAAAATAGAATTGAAATCAATCAATTCTAAACCGTCTCTCTCAAGTTTAATCAGCAGCACAAAAATTCCCAGGATCCCAACCCCGTTATCAACATCCACGAACCAACTATGTACAGTGTTCCATCAAGTAAGGGAGACTTCTTCTTCCTCCCACCCTCGAGTTCACAGCTATGGCGCAGGCCTGCGCCCAACCTATCGAAACCCCACCAATCGCCACCAACCCTCCTGACCCAACAAGCCACTCAGCAATCCAATCTCAATGCCCACTGCAGATGACGTGTCCACTCAACAGGGGAGAGTAGCTCCCCGGACGAAGAAGAAGAACACCAGCACTTGGTGAAGAAGAAGATGGCTGCCGCTTCGACACACACTTCGAAGAAGGGTCTTCAATGGCAGTTCACTGTCGAACCCCAACGAGCACAGGTAAGAGGAGGCGCCTCACAGAGCAGAGCCTGACGCCCAGGGCTTATCTCAACATAAGCTAGGTCGCCCCAGCCATGGCCACCGGCCCTCACAGCATGGAGACGGTGGCATAGCAAGATAACGCAGCACAAAGCAGGGCACCCTCCAGCAGCACTTCGTGGAAAGAAAATGACGAGCAGAATCCGTTTTTCCTTGCCCTGGACACTTTTGTAGACTTCTGTTTTCCCTCACTCAACAGCCTACAGCCTAGGAACAACAGCCCATAGCCTAGGACCGAATCTAGACCTAAAATTGGCAAAAGGGAGGGACAGAAACGACCTACAACTCAAGGGCAGAAAAGGACAAAACAAAGAGGCCCAGTGGTTCTACGACTACCCTACAGAAACTCTCACAGTCAGACCTAGGAATCAAGCACAGTAAGGCTCACACATACGAAGAAACCCACAACCACAGTACAGGTCACGGGATCAAGTCCAGGAGAGCTCAAAACCAGCCAAAACAGATACTAGAAGTAGTGTACAGCCCGCATAACACTCCAATTCATTGCACAGCGGCCGCAGGTGACCGGTACCGGTCCGAAGCAGGCACGAACAGTCAAGTGCAACTATATTTAGCTGCTACAGTGCCAAGCCAAGGCAGTTGTTCATTCGCAAAGCTGCCGGACCGCTATTTGCTGCTTGTCCGATAGTGCGACCTGGACGAAGGACAAAGGGCCGGGAAAGAATCAGGCGCCCTGGTGATGAGAGTCAGCCATAGCTAGGATAGCAGGGATGAGGAAGACAGCGGCCATAGCCGTCAGGCTGAGGAGATACACCACAGCTGTATTCAGGGTGGATCCTAGAAGAGAGAGAGAGAGGGAGCTTGAATGCAGTGCCGCAGAGAGGTCAGCGACTTGAGAGGGAGAGAGAAGCCAGACATCGGGGGAGAGGGAAGTCGAGTGCATACCTGAGTCGGGATTTCGGTGCTGAGTCGCAGCCGTTGCCGCTGAACACTTAAACTCACCAATTGTATAATATCATATTTTTGAGTGGAAACATACCTGACGCTGATTCATGTGTTATCTCTCCGGTGTGGTGTGCACTTCCATGTGAATGCTCTCATCTTGCATGCTCGAGTTGGTTTCATATCCCGCGGTTCATTGCAGCACTATATTATTCTCTCAATTTGTTTTCACCTTTCACTACCTACATACTACTTCTAAGGCTATACAGGGAACACCTAGCTCCGTCAGTCAGGCACACAAGTGGCACTGAGAAGGTCAAGGGTTCAATCACCACTGACCACCTGGGCAGTCTTGGTGACAACCAACTCCGATAGTTGGCTTGATCCCCCCGGTCGGTATTGGCAGGGTCTTTGGCCATCATCGATGTGGCTGTGGGTGTGGGTGTGGGTTTGGGTGTGGGGGGTTGTGCGTCATGTGTGAGTGGTGACCATAGATACTGCTGTTACTCAATGGGGATGCGGAAAATAGATGGGAGGCACAGCAACTGGCAAAATCCTCGGCCTTTGCATTAGCCTGCACCCCCCCCCCCCGGCCACCCCACCCTACTCCCTGACCACCGCCGATTAGGGTGGGGGGAACATGCATCCCCCTGTATAGGCTTAGGAGTCGTGGTAGGTAGGCAGTGAAAGATGAAATTGAGAGAAGAATGTAGCTTTGCTTTTTCGAAAATAAAATAACACATACAGGGGACGCCTGCAAGCGTAGCTTACCTCACAATAAAGGATTGCATGTTGGCCTAGCAGCGGTAGTCAGGGAGTATTCAGAGTTTTTCCTTGTTTTTTTTCCCACAAGTACACAATGTTTCCGGTTCTCTGGGAGGAGGTCCCACTAGCAAAGAGGATTGAATAGCACACCTGAATCTGGACGTGTTTGTGCAGATGTGCAGAAAATCACTGTTGATCTGCTTTTCCGCATCTTTGCATAAAATACATCCAGATTCAAACGCTTAGTGCAATCCTCTTTGCTGGTGGGACCTCAACCCATGCAAGTGGGACCTCACCCTGTGGGGGCTCAAACTGCTATACAAATTCAAATTTCCAAAAAAAAAAAAAAAAAAAAAAAACTGCCGTGCAGAGGTCAATATTGCCGACCAACATTTAAAATCTCCAATCTGAAAAATCTGAATGAGATCCAGGCGCCCAAGTCCCATCAGCAGATGTACCTAGTCCCATCCACGACTTAAATGCATGGGTTACTATTCCGAGTACAAGCATGTATCTAGGCACCGCCGGCATCAAGATGCATTCCGCAATCTTCCTGTTTGTGAGCCAGTGAGTCCTTCAATTCGCCTACACTCCTGTCTCTTATACACATCTAGATGTGTATAAGAGACAGGGCCAAGATGGTTGAGGCAGAAATAAGAGAGAGAGGGCGGGGTTGGGGGTTTGCCGGGGGGGGGGAGGGGGGGGGAGGGGGACGGTCAAACCTGGAAAGGTAGCAAAGGACAAACGACTGTCGTTATTCCAAGTGCTAAACTCACTCACTTTTTTTCTTTTTGCTCTTTTCTTTTCTTTTCTTTTCCTCAGTAACTCACTTGTTTCTTCGACTGAGGCGGCTTCGGTTTGGCCTTGGCCCATCTACGCTGAGGCGCAGCAACTGTAGTTGGAGGAGGAGTGGGATGAGGAGAAGCAGCAGGGGCGGCACCAGCAGCTGTACCAGGAGTTGTCCACGGAGTTGTTGCACCAGGAGCTGGACCTGCCATCGTTCCATTGACATTTGTTGTTGTTGCCTTAGCCTGAGTGAAGTTTGGCATGCCGGGCGTCTTTCCCTCTCTCTGTCCCGTCGTTTCATCCTGCTCTTCCTCCTCTTCTTCCTCCTCCTCCTCCTCTTCCTCTTCCTGCTCCTCTCCATCTCCGGCATCCGCCATCGCTGCCGTACCGTCCTCCTCACCCGCTCTCCTTGTGACCTCCGTGTACACATCCTCTAACGTGTAAAAGACCTGTCTTTCATCCCCACAAAGCAGTCAAATCAACCAACCAACCAACCAACCAATCAATCAATCAATCAATCACGGAGGCATGCGGGTCCTAGCCCAGCAAGCACAATCGCAAAAGTCAGGTCAGCGTGGACATACAAATTGCACGCCAGATCAGCGGCAGAACCGGAAACAGCAAGCCTTATTATCAGGCAGTAATCTCGCACAAAACGACAAAAACGTCACAACAGCTGTGGCACAGAAAATGACAAAAGCCTTGTGAGTCCGTAGCACCGAAAACGCCAACAAGCCGATTCAGCAGACTTTAGCAGAGACAAGCAAGCAACAGCACAGCTACTTACAGCAGCGAAATTATATTATGTTTTGTAACAGTGCATGGGTCCTGGGGACCATCTCACGCAAGTGTGTACATGCCATGCATCGTACTCCCACACACAATGAACAGTAGTCTGACAATAGACAAAGATAGAGAAGATGAGGACCGAGTTTCACAGTTTATATTATCAGAAATATGAATACAAAGTGTTTCAAAGTTCCCCTGAGTCCAGCGCTCATCAGCGCAACACCAATATCTTGCCAACTCATCAATATGCCTTCCAGTGAATCAGTGCTACCCTTGCAGATAGTCTCCAAATCATCAACGTGCTCACTACTCATCAGCGCCACCTCTGCAGGTCACAACCAACTCAGGTAAGTACCTTCCATAGCCAAACCTTGAATGAACACTCTCAGTCTCAATCCCTTCCTCCTATGATGCATACACACACTTCAATACTCATGAGGATCTACTCTGGACACTACTCATAGCTACATACTAACCCTCTACTACTAATGCTAACTCGCTGGGCAGCTATGGCTGCATCACTTCCAGCGTACAGGCATCTTCCTCCCTCCAGCGCGTCTTCTCCTCCAGCGCTGCTCCTCCTGACTCAGCGCACAAGTGCACCAGCACTTCCACGCACTGCAGCCAGTGGAGATCTGGCGAGGAATGAGGCAGGCAGCTCTTTTTATAGTGCTGGCCACTCCTCGCTGGGTCTGCATTGGCTCAATTCAGCCTCTCCCTTTGTCCCAGACCCTGCATTGCATGTGTCCCAGTACAGTCCCAATGAGATTCAACTGCTGCTGAGGCACTTCGGCCTGGATTTGGACTTGAAAGTCTGGATCTGGACTGACCCCTTGACTTAGACCAGAACTGGGAC